TATGAGCAATAATTTGAGCTCGAAATGTCATCAAGTAAATAATACTAGATCACTGTGTGTTATAAATCAAATAGACAAATCTAATATGGAATTAAATTCTACCACAGTGCCCAAGTTTTACACCTATATTAATTTTTAAAAATCTTGACTTTTTCTTCCAGTTACCCGTAAATAAATAGACTTTAACGCTGCAACTGTAGTGGCGTTGCTGATCAGAATGGATATAAGTAGTATATGTTGAGAGAGCGGCAGAAATCATAGGCAATTACCAGCAGTGGGTAGGGATTCCATCAACAGAAACGCAAGAGACAATGTGGGCGTATTAAGAGCAAATAGAGATAGAGACAGAAGAGGAAATGAAGTAGATTATGCAAATGACTGTCTTAGTGCAAGGTGTACAATATTTAATGACTACTGTGCAAGGTGTCAATAATATACATTCCTTCCAACGTCTCAGTCTTCTCACTTCCTTCACTACTAGTACCGCTAACATTCTTCATCTGATTTTGTCCTTTGCATCTACATTTCCTCAATCTACATTCTTGCTTTGTTCCAACAGAAAAAAGTACATTTCTCATTTCAACCCTAACTAATTCTCTATTTATTCTAGGATGCTTGCGAAACGAAAGAAACGCACTCAGCCACCTCGTGAGCATCTTTGCAGTAGGCAATGAAACAAACCTATTGTGTGGGGCTAGTGATACCACCCGAGGTGCCCGAACATCAGTAGGTGGAGCGGGACTCGAACCCATGGTCCAATGGTTGGCAGCTACCACCCTAAACCACTGAGCCACAGCTCTACAAGGCTGTTTGCAGCTGAAGAGGAGCCGCGGAATAAGTATGGACTGAAAATAAACTGTAAATCTTGTTCGTTTTGCTGTAATGATATGAAAGATCACTGGTGGCCTGCTTAAACTTTTCCAACCAATTTATTTTTTCAAATTCTTCCCTTTTATATTTTTAAAATCATCTAATTGTCTTTTAACGTGTCATGTACTCTCGTACATTTATAAAATGTTTTTAAACTGAAGTTTTTCAACCTAACAACAAAATAAAAGAAAAACGCTATGTCAGCGAGTAATGAACTCAGCAAAACACGAAAATGCTAGCACATTTCTATTCTTTGGATACCTACGTTAAATCAGTCGCAGAATTTTGTAATGGCTGAATAAACTATCATCATCAAAATTTCGTTCTATTTTCGATACACTCATCATTCCAGATCAGAAGCTAATGTGCAATAATTATTTCGTTTAAAAATATTGTACAGGGAATGAGTCTGTTGAACTATTAACAGCTGAGAATTCCGCACTGGAATAAAGCGACTGTAATAATAATGATATTATTATTATTATTATTATTATTATTATTATTATTATTATTATTATTATACCATAGAAGATATAAACTTAGCTTACACTGAGGATGGTCACATCTATGTAGGTGATCACTAAGCTTTATGGAATACCTAGTGTTTTTACAGGTTATAAATGAAGCCAGTATCATTTCAATCTTTTAACTTGGTTCACTTAATTTTATGAGAAAATTACCAAAATACGAGTGCTACTGATCAAATAGAAGGCGCTGATCAACATTGAAGTACCTTAATAGGGTGAAATATGTGGTATCATCAGCTTTCGTATACTATGTAAACATAAAACTAACTAACTTTACTTTCCATCAAATAACTGAACATTATGATATAGATATTCGGTTGAAAACGTAATCTTATATAAGGCGTTGTAGCAGATCAGATCGATCTCATAGTAAACAGTACCGTGAATCGATCTGCCTAACGTATGACACCCCAATCGACCTGAAAAAAAGTCTCATATATGTGCATTCTTGCAATGTGTTCGAAAGATTCAAACCTTGTCATCTACGAAACAGATCAACGAAACTCTACTTGAAAATGATCGAATGCAACAATCTGTTTCCTGGCGTTTATATTTTGTTTGACGTATCGGTTAATCATCATTACTATAGAATTTTTCTTGAAATAATATGCCTAACACTAGCTCTAAATAATGGCCCTGTCTTTTCTGGTAGGGTTGTAGTCAGTCAGTCACATAAGTACGCCTGTGACAAAATCAAATAAAAGTAGAGAGAGTGGATATCCTCGACGTAAACAACATACCTGATAACCATAGTAATGATGGATAGTAGCTAGCAGTAGAACCCAGGATGCGCACTTCCTCCTATTTGGGACTCATCACCTAGATGTACCCGCCTTCCAGTGAGTGATGTCGTCCCCATCAGGACTCGAACCCGAGGCCGACCGCTTCAAACGCCACAGTGCTATCCACTAGACCACATAGCCACTCCTTCTACGACGGATATAGTGTTAATATAATTGCTGTATCATACCGTCGTTGGTGGGACCGAATTGATCAGTCTCTATTGGCATATGGGCTTCTGTGCGAATGTCTCAGTATTACCTGTATTTGAATTATAGTAATAATGGATAACTGATAACTTACTATAAGCCCAGACACATCCATAGATGCTTGCATACGGAACCTTTAATAAGGTGATGTAAGTAACTAATAATCCTTTTAGTGAGAGACCTGGTCATAAGACTTCTCGGTTGATGCAGTCGAATCCCGCCTTCAGCTCAAAAATACAACTAGTGTCAGGCGCTGGTAAGTGTACTTGTATTCTACTATCTATCAGATAGCCAGGACCGGATCGAGCTACCTACAGCTAAGTTTGAGTCCGGCCTGATTTCTACGCGTTTTTTTGTTTGTGTGCTTTGCTTAATGATAAAATGTCTACATAGCCTAAGATCTAAGACACAATATTCGTGAGGCTGATTCATCTGTAGCTGTACCAGGAGGATTTCTTTTCTTTCTTGAAAACTGGGATAGTGAGTGAGTGACTGAAACCAGTCAGAGTGGACCTTAAGCTGCTGTGCTTTTCCGCTTTAGGTTAATCATGAACTTTCTAACTTTCGTAAGAGTTGCAGAGCCTATTCCAGTGCTTCATTCAGGATTCGACTGGATTACTGACAGTCGAAGATTAACCATGCATGCTGGAGTTCGTCATTGCCCCCAATTTAATACAGTTGGCACGGGTATCCAGTGTGTTAGAGAAGATTGTTCTTGGGACCTTTACCGTGGGTGACTGCGCACTTCCACAGGATATTTATAGATTCCGTTATTTCGGGCGTACGAAGATTCATCACTTTGAAATCTTGAGCATCAAAAGTCAAATCACTCGTAAGTTACCAGGATTTCAGTTGAACCCGATCATCTACAAGAAACAAAGTGGTCTCCTTGTTAACTAATGTCCCCAAAATATTTAAGTGGTCCTCAAATGGGACAAATGAGAAGTAATCCTGGGGTATACATTTAGTCAGTCCGTCGGACTCAGCCTTAGTATTTCTAGCAACGAACTGATTTCAGAGTGGTATCAGGGACTGTGGTTTTACTGCACCCATTTACGCACAAGCAGAGGCGTATTCAAACCAATGTGTAATCACTCCCAAAAAGTGCGAATCGTCCGATGACCCTCTCCAACTGTAAATGACAGGAATACAAGATGTCTGTGTCGATCACTGAGTTGGGGTCAGTGGGAACCATGTCGGACAATATCTCTCATTATATCTAAAGTCTGTGCTAGCTAGCAACGGGGGTTTTCCATGAACACAGCTGTAGTGGGCGACCGGTGTCAACTGTTGGTTCGGCTGCGATTCCAGAAGTCCTGCCTGTGTGCCTTTCTGCTTCACTGAGCTTACCCACTTGAGTATTGAAGCTGCCTGCTAAGGCAATCAGTTCCGAACGCTAAGCCTTCAGTAGGAGGCTAGACAATTTTCAGTACAACTCATCCTTCATTCCATCCAAACTGCAGTCAGTACATAAGCAGGGACTACAAAAAAATAACGGTAAATTTCACTATTCTTAGTAGTACTGACTGTGTCACTGTGTCATACAACGCACAGGCGACTGTCAAGTGGGATCCAGTGGAGCAGTGCATTTTCTGCTTTGAGATCTTGTGCCATATCTACACCTAAAAGACCGTGAGAACTAGTCAAAAAATCTGCAGAAACTCTATGAATGAATTTCGCAGATTCACATTGGTCGGGAGACGTTAAGTGAATAACCACACTTGGGTTCTGTATAAGTGTCACGAAAAAGCATGTGTCCAGAGTTCTGGCCACCAGATGACGCAGGAATATTGATCGGAAGATGTGAGGTAAAGATTAGAAGCTAATTATGTGGAAGGTTGATAATGATCTGAAGTGACTTGAGTGTCGACAGCTTTGTGATGATAGTTTACACTCCCCAGAGCCCACATCTGAGTAGGCTGCTCTTTGGAGTGCCTGAAAAAGAAACTGGATCAGCAGTAGTGCGTTACCATAGAATCCAAGGTCGGTCACACATAGCCGTTTCATAGCTTCGAGATTTAAGTTTGTTGGTTTTGATCCTGACTATGAACCCATATTGTCGGCACTAGAATAGTGCAAGGCAAGGAGAAGTGTGATTCACAGACGGCTGACCTTTTCTACCCTCCAATTTTCCATAAGGAAAGTAGTATTAGCACAGGCTGCCCTCGGATGCCGTCGTAGTGTCGTTATGTGCACCATAGCGGTGGGTGATTTTTATTTTCTCCATAAATAAGAGATTTTTCTGGTATGACAGGACCTTAAGGAGTGAATTTTTCCAACGGTATAGAACGCCGAGTCACATAAAAGCTTGACTCATACATCAAGGTAGCTACTACCAGTCGGGAAAGATTTCAATATTTTGCTGAGATGGGTTAAGTATACTGTCTTACGAGGTTAGCTTATTGAACGTAGTAAAGTTTCGACAACAGGATTAAACATGGAAACTAATTTACAACTCACTGCTTCATAACGCGGATATCCTCATGGAAATAGTATTCGAACTTTTGAACACCGCTGGCATCAGGGTTATCTTTGATGCAAGGGCGTAATTTAACTGGAATAGACTCTGTTGCACCGACTGCATCCAAGCATAAAGATGGATCAGCAATGGATCTTATCTCTCCAACAGCCATAGGTATTGGTTCAATAAGCGGGTACTTTTTGACCAGATCAATGCTATCTCTGTCATAAACCATTTAAATGATTTACATTTAAGTTTCTCTCGGAGTTTATATTGTTCTGATAGATCACCAGCATCCAGCTGTCGATAATTCGGACGTCTTTTATATATATACTCTTTGTATTCATCCATCCAAACCTCTGCAACACGCCTGGACAAAAGTGACAAAGTTGAGTTCAGAGGCAATATAAGCGAACCATACTGTTAACAGTTTGTGTTTTGCAAAGTGAGTTATGACTTGAAAATTGTACCTTCCATACAAAAAAAACTACAGTTTAGGCCTCCGATATTCATCTAGCTGAGCGGCAGAGTAAACACTTGGATCACAGTGAGTTAGTAGTGTTAACGTCATGAGCTCAAGCAGCATGTCAGCTGACTAGTCTACTACTTACTTTACTAGACATCATTAAAGTACTTACACTCAATAAATATAGTTAAAGCACACATTTGTTTGCTTTCATGTTCTGTTTTACCGTGGAAACAAGCAAAGGTTGTATCCCTTAAAAATTCACGACTTATTTTTTACTGACTAAATGAATAAAAAAAGTCAAAGAAAGACATTATTTATTTTGAATAATGCAGGGTTTAAATGGTGAGAAAAAATGGAAAATCAAGACAAATAATAACTAAGAACAAGAAATAATGACATAAGCTATTTCAACCCAACCAATAATACAGGTCAATTCAAGACTTAACAAATGCTTCTAAATGCCAAAAGGAAAGTGGGTACGAAAACCGCTCCTCCTACTAAGGTTCGGGAAGCTAGGTACTAACATCAGCCCTCACAGAATAGTGTGGCAAACTGCCTACTGTACGAACGTAGACAAGTTTGCACAATGGACACTTAGTGCAAGTTGCATAATGAATGGAACTTCGAGATAGGACTCACAAGAATCATCATCATCATTATCAACATAGGACCAGGCATTACTGCGTAACGGTCCGAGTTGCTACACCTCACGTCAGTTCATCAAGTAAAAAGGTAGTCAGGTGAAGGATGAAGATAAGTGAATGCAGTCAAAAGAAATATAAAGTACGAGAAGAAAGGAAAGAGGAGTGACAAAATGGTGAGATTCGGTATAGCGTTGTTAAGATGAGGATAATGTGTGTATACATCTGCGCCACTGACATCGGTTCTGAGCCATATCACCTAGGGTCTCCAACCACTGGTTCCTCTTGTCCCGTGGACCCCAACCACCTAGTCTGCATCGTCCTACATGGCTTAAACCAACAGTCAGAGACTTCATACATTGGTGCCATGTTTTAGTCTGGCCACCTCGGGCCTTTTTACAGCCTGGACCCACCTCAGCCAACATTGTGTGACGAGGTAATCGGTGACTAGGCATACGTAGTACGTGTCCCAACCAGCCATCTCAGTCGATGAAGGTTCACAACCTCGTCAACTGACTTACCTCTTCTCCCCAAAACTCTACACCTAACTTCTGCATTACTCACATGGTGACACCATGGAATACGTCCTATACTACGAAGGCAACGGTGGTCAAACACCTGAAGCCTTTTTATATCTTCCACGTTCAATGGCCATGTTTCACAGCCATACAGTAGAACAGAGCGGACTGCTGTGCAGTACACGCGACCCTTAATAGACAAACGAATATCACGGCAGCGCCATAGGTGGCGCAAATTGGCAAAAGCCAATCGAGCCTTTTGTATCCGTGCAGAAATCTCATCGGCAACTAACCCACCGGGGTTGATCCTACTTCCAAGGTAAGTGAAGTGGTCAACACACTCAACCACTTCATTCTCTATTGTTAGCCGCGGTACCGCTGAAGACCAGTCCTGGAGCAAAAATTTGCATTTGGGTGGTGAAAATCGCATCCCAAACATTCTCAAATTCCCACTCAAAGTGTTCAGAAGACTCTGCATCTTGTCAGCGTCTTCACCTAACAGGACTATGTCATCTGCATATTCTAGATCTAAAGAAAATTCACCTATGATTGGGTCAACGTCTGTGTATTTAGGTGACGAGAGGGCAACCTCCATAAGAATATCTATGATAAAATTAAATAAGAATGGGGATAGTGGGCATCCTGAAACAAGGACGGGGAGCAGGGAGACAAAAGTACAAAAGTATTCAAAAAACGTGGCAAGGGATTACTGGTCAAATTAACTGACGTGTACACTAGAGTATGGGATTAAGATATGATCCCTTCTGACTGCTTTCAATCACGGATTGTCCGAGTATTCACGAAAAGTTAGACGTTTTTCCGTGATTAACACAGGAAATTCCGTCACGTGAACATAGTGTCTAAGATTATAATTCAATTATAATTAGGTGTTTGAGTGGAGCTTCAAAACAGTGAACCCGAGAAACCAAGTAGGCTTCAAACCTAACTGTAGGTAAATCGATCAAATACATTCACACCCCATCCTATTCTGGAACACGGACACTTACTGACAACCGATACTGGCTGCACTTCTAGATCTAAAGGAGGCGTTCAACTCCGTCAATCGAAAGGTCTTACGGTAGTGTCTCTCACTGAAAAAGATATCGAGTAACCACATAACCCTGTCGAAGGCTATGTACTCGAACACCCATTGGCGTATTTTAGTCTATGGCAAACTGTGTATGTTGGGTAGTGTCCATTAAGAATGCCTATTTTCTCCATCACCATTCAATCCTATCACAGATGTTCTTATGGAGGTCTCTCTCTCTCTCATCGTCCTACTTCACAGGGGTTGATCTGACCATAGGAGAATTCTTGGTACATCTAGAATGAACAGATGACATGGTTGTGTTAGGTGAAAACCTTAACAAGATACAGAGTCATCTGGACAACTTGAATGGCAATTTTAGAATGTTTGGGACACGTTTCTCGCCACCCAAATACCGGTTGTTGCTCCACGACTGGTCTTCAGTGGTACCCTGTCTAACAATAGGGAGTGATATAATTGAGCAGGCTGACCAATCCACTTACCTGGGAAGTCAGACCAACCCCGGTGGGTCAGTGGCCGAAGAAATCTCTGCGAGGATAGAAAAGGATCAACTGGCTTTCACCAACCTACACCATCTATGGGACCCCTGCGGTATCTGGTTGTCTTTAAGAGTTGAGTGTTCTACTGTATAGCTGGAAAAAATGGCCACTGAAGGCATAGAAAATGAGGAGGCTTCAGGAGTCCAACTATAGCTGTCTCGGCAGCGAAGACCGTGCGTCAAAGTGTCAACAAATTAGTAATGCAGAAGTCAGGAGGAGGACAGTAGATAGGAAAGGGAAGTCAGTTGATGAGGTTGTTAACCTTCATCGACTCAGTTGGCTGGAATATGTGGTACGCATGCCTAGCCCATCTTGTCACACAACGTCATCTGAAGTGGGTTTAAGCTGGAAAAGGGCTAGGGATGACCAGTCTAACACATGGCATCAATACACGAAGTCTCTCAATGTTGGTCTGCGCCGTATATAGAAATGTATACTTCCCGGTCTGGGTCCATATGACACCAGAAATAAGGGATCGAGGACTCTAGGTGAAATGGCTGAGAGTCAACTTCAGTGCCACAGATATCTGCACACATCACTTCTATCTTAAGTGTCGCACTAAATTTGTTATTTTCCTATTCATCCTTGTTATCTCACCACGACTTTCTACCACTTCGACTTCTTTCTCTTCTATTTCTCTCACCTTTCTTTCCGACTTGATATGCTGATATAAGATGTAGCAACCTTGACTGTTATGAAGTAATGCCTCGTCCTATGCTGATGTTGATGACTGATGATGATGTAAGATATCTCGAGAGACGAAACCAATTTTTCTTCTAACTGTGTTGTCACACCCACAAACTTCAGTTCGCCTCTTCGAAAGCAGAACAGCTCGATTCTCACATAGTTTTTACTGAAGAGAACTGGGTAGAGACTGAATACTATTGACTCGTTCGAAAACTGATAGATCAACGGTGACAACTAACGGAGCAGGTCCAGTGTGGATCGAGCAAACGTAGAACGCCGTGTACATACTAAGATATGGCACAACTATGACTCCATAGATTTTTGATCCCACTTTGGGAGAAGCGTCAGGACTTGAGGTTGACAGGACAATCTAAATTTATAGTTAGAGACCTAAGCTATTGAGGCTAAGCATCTACCGCGGTAGTGCACAGGTGTTCCTACTCTTACGAACAAGTTGACGGAAGAGACAACGAAAACGGGACTTCAGGTGAACGTAGAGAAGATGGAGGTGATGAACATACCCAACGAACAACAGCATGAACAAAAAGCAATAATCACTATTAACGGGAGGGACCTAAAGGAAGTGGTCTCTTTCACCTACCCACCTACCTAGGCAACATCGTTTCAACTACAGGTGGCACAGGCACACATGAGGATGTCAAAGCCAGCATCAGAAAGGCAGCAAGACAGGCTTATATTAATCTGATATCACTGTGGGGGTTTACTCCACTCAACTCAGCATAAAGAATAAGATCCGGATTTTCAACACCAACGTCAAGTCAGTGCTTCTATATGGTTCAGAAACTTGGCGCATCACGATAAGCATTCCCAACAAACTACAGACATTCATCAACAGCGGCCACCTGTACTTCATGCTTAAGATCATGTGGCCAGAATAATAAGAATAAGCAACAAGGAACCCTAACTGGCTGGCAACGAATCAACGAAGCATAACCAATCGCCCAACAAATATGTGGTAGAAGAAAGTGGAGATGGATTAGAATGGTCATACACTGAGAAGACCATTTGGGGACATCACGAGCCAGGCCAGGCCCTCGAGTGGAGTCCGAAGGGGAGACGGCTAGTTGGGTGTCCCAGCTGAAGATGACATGGAGGAGATCGTGTGAGGAAGAAATGAAAGCTTGTGGGTAGTCGTGGAGCCAGGTTGAAAAGACTGCAGAGAAGAGAGTGCAATGGATGCGTGCTACTGAGGCCCTATGTTCCACTAGGAACCTAAGGGACTAATAATAATGATATACGTCTTTTACGACAACTCCCGCCTTACCAGTATGCCGAGGAGCGTCACTGTTGTCAAAAATGTAAGTTTAACAATTTTATTTACCAGCACAAAAGCTTATGAGACTGTTTGCCTGGTGAAATGGCGACCATGCAAAAATACGACATAGCTAGTTGACCCACAGCCTCTTGAAGAAGACAAGTGCGGTTGACTCGTCATTACATATTTGTGTCACACGTTCGCACTACCGCAGTTCAAACTCTTCACCGAAGAACATCGTTTGACTTTGAAGGACTTGATTATTGTTCGGTTATTAAGCCGAATTATCTAATCCACTTTTCACTTGGTTAAGATAGTAGTTTTATGGGATCACATGAGGCCCTCTGCTTATTTGTAATCTCATCTCACCCGTGAACATTCCTTACCTTGCCCACATAACATGCATCTAATTTGGCCAAACTTGCCAATTAAACCTCCTTTCATTCGGAATTGTATTATTTGTTTTTCTGATCTTCCGAACACTACCTGTTACCTTAAAATGCTCGATATAAAATATCTTAGTATTCAGGATAGTAACTACTGATTTGCTTATTCTAGTTGCATGCGGCTAATGAAAATTCTATAAAACAAAATAGCATCCTCTCATTTTGCGAATATTCTCATTGTGTTATTTAAGTTCATTAAGGGAAACAAATGTATGAAATAATCAGGTTAGCTGTTTAATCACACATGATTGCTACTAGAATAAAACTGACCAAAAAACTGTCAGGCAATCCACAGTTATTAATAGGAAAATGATTTTGTTTTTGGGTAATGATAATTCAAGGTTAGAATCATTAGCAGCACCTGTTCAAATGGACTGAAATACGCCTACGAAAACCTATGATTTCGCTAAAATCATCCTAGATCTCTACATCGTACTACGAATCCACCCATAGTAAGGACGCCATACACAGCTTTGAGTACTCAAACAAAGGCATTTATAACCAAAAGGATGGTGTTCTGGGGTTGCTGCTTCAGTGCATATCAGCACCAGAATAACCTCAGTAAACACTCATCACCAGTTGTAATAAACCACTCAAAATTTCAACTAAAACTACTGAACAGAACTACCTTCATGATATTGAAAACACAGCGCAAAAATAAAAATATAACTCACTTGTAATTGCGGCCGACGAAGTTTCCCAATCCTGACTGCGGGAAGTTTGTCGGGTATTTACGATAGATATGACCAATCCTGGAACATGGAGCATCAATCATACGACCTCCACACATCCAAATCTTGAATGACAATTCATACTGCTCTCCACCCCATATAACGAGACCGGGGTCATATCCTCCAAGCTCCCAAAACCATTTAGCGCTAATGGCGAACAAACCTCCTGCCATTACGGGGCTGTCAAAAGGCTTTTCAGGATGATTTCTGTCTTCCGGTAGTCGTGGAAGCCGTTTGTAGTATAACTCCCAATCAAACGCTCCACGGGCACCTTCATCTTGTGCCCGATACTCGAAATTATCTGCATCTATCACATCAATGAATGGGCAAACAACAGTTCTGTAATTTTCAGCTATTGGATCCAACAAGGGTGGGAGCCAATTGACACCGGCTTCACAGTGGGAATCAAGGAAGATTAACACGTCACCGGTGGCTTCTCTTGCACCTGCTAACTTAGCTCGAATGAGACCTTCTCGCTTCTTCAAGTGAACTACACGAACCTTACCACTAGGATAGGTAGATGAAAGAAAATTGTCAAGATTATCTTTTAAATATTCCCGTGAGCTACCGTCATCGACCAGAATAATTTCCTTTAAAAGTTGTGGGGGTGCTCGATTCAAAACAGATAAAATTGTACGCATAAGAGTCTCCCAGTGCTCTTCAAAAACAGGAATAATAACCGAAGCAATAGGGAGGACACTAGAATACAAAGCTCCTTTACAATTTGGATGTCGAATGTCTTTAATCGATCTGTCTGTCTTAATTTTTGCACTAACATATATATTGAAGCCATTCATATTTCGAGTTTGATCGGCCCTAGCTTTTTCCAGAGTCGATAATCTAACAGGCATCCCATTTTCTCCTGGTCCTCGCCTTAACCTTTCAAGCGCAGAGAAGGTATAATTCTCCCAGTCTATTCGAGAAGCATGCTTATGCTGTCCGTTCATTTGTAGTAATTGAGTTGGTAGGTTTTCAAACGTGAGTTTCAATGGAATGTACCCATGGTGATTATGATAGACAATAACTACGCAAACGAGTATTATTAGGCAGATAAACGTTAAGCGGGCTAAACGAAAAGGATGCAGACGCATCTTTCACCCAAAAAAGGTGAACTCAACTTTTAGAGTTGTATCAAATAGTGTGGTAATGTATAGCCAAATGCCAAGGTCACGTTTGTTGTTGCACCCATTTTCAAGGACGTGTCCAACGTCCAACAGCAGCAAGTATAAACTTGACATTTCGTGTTACAGAAGAATGTCACCATGGTTCCTTAGGTTTTAGGTCCATCTTAGTAAAAATACAATATGTGAAATTGTTAGTCTTTCATCTCTCACGTCTAATTCTTAGACAGTGTTTCTCACTGTCCGGTTATCTCTCTTGCTGCATTCTTCTAAAAACTAACACACTACGTTAATAGTTCGAGGACAAAAAACTTGTTGATCTGACGATCTCACATATAGGTCTTTAGTCCTGGTCCTTTTTGTCCTGTTTTGCTCCTACGGTGGTCGCAGTAGTCTTTAAATTTCGCCTGCCTATAGCTTCAGAGTTAGTAGTTGTCCATAAATATTTCGAAAATTTTAGCTCGTTGTGTTTAAGGAACAATAAGGCTACAGATGAGATCGATTAGCCTCTTGGAATCCCTGCTTTGTGAGCCCCTTCAAGCAAGTTTTAAGTGCTATTTTAAAAGTGTAACTGGAAACTGGAGGAGTTGGGAGTGAGAAATGTACATGGAAAAACAAGTGCCACCGGTGTTAATACGGAGAAGATTTGGATTTAAATGCATGCTGGAGTTTGTCATTGCCCCCAATTTAATACAGTTGGCACGGGTATCCAGTGTGTTAGAGAAGATTGTTCTTGGGACCTTTACCGTGGGTGACTGCGCACTTCCACAGGATATTTATAGATTCCGTTATTTCGGGCGTACGAAGATTCATCACTTTGAAATCTTGAGCATCAAAAGTCAAATCACTCGTAAGTTACCAGGATTTCAGTTGAACCCGATCATCTACAAGAAACAAAGTGGTCTCCTTGTTAACTAATGTCCCCAAAATATTTAAGTGGTCCTCAAATGGGACAAATGAGAAGTAATCCTGGGGTATACATTTAGTCAGTCCGTCGGACTCAGCCTTAGTATTTCTAGCAACGAACTGATTTCAGAGTGGTATCAGGGACTGTGGTTTTACTGCACCCATTTACGCACAAGCAGAGGCGTATTCAAACCAATGTGTAATCACTCCCAAAAAGTGCGAATCGTCCGATGACCCTCTCCAACTGTAAATGACAGGAATACAAGATGTCTGTGTCGATCACTGAGTTGGGGTCAGTGGGAACCATGTCGGACAATATCTCTCATTATATCTAAAGTCTGTGCTAGCTAGCAACGGGGGGTTTTCCATGAACACAGCTGTAGTGGGCGACCGGTGTCAACTGTTGGTTCGGCTGCGATTCCAGAAGTCCTGCCTGTGTGCCTTTCTGCTTCACTGAGCTTACCCACTTGAGTATTGAAGCTGCCTGCTAAGGCAATCAGTTCCGAACGCTAAGCCTTCAGTAGGAGGCTAGACAATTTTCAGTACAACTCATCCTTCATTCCATCCAAACTGCAGTCAGTACATAAGCAGGGACTACAAAAAAATAACGGTAAATTTCACTATTCTTAGTAGTACTGACTGTGTCACTGTGTCATACAACGCACAGGCGACTGTCAAGTGGGATCCAGTGGAGCAGTGCATTTTCTGCTTTGAGATCTTGTGCCATATCTACACCTAAAAGACCGTGAGAACTAGTCAAAAAATCTGCAGAAACTCTATGAATGAATTTCGCAGATTCACATTGGTCGGGAGACGTTAAGTGAATAACCACACTTGGGTTCTGTATAAGTGTCACGAAAAAGCATGTGTCCAGAGTTCTGGCCACCAGATGACGCAGGAATATTGATCGGAAGATGTGAGGTAAAGATTAGAAGCTAATTATGTGGAAGGTTGATAATGATCTGAAGTGACTTGAGTGTCGACAGCTTTGTGATGATAGTTTACACTCCCCAGAGCCCACATCTGAGTAGGCTGCTCTTTGGAGTGCCTGAAAAAGAAACTGGATCAGCAGTAGTGCGTTACCATAGAATCCAAGGTCGGTCACACATAGCCGTTTCATAGCTTCGAGATTTAAGTTTGTTGGTTTTGATCCTGACTATGAACCCATATTGTCGGCACTAGAATAGTGCAAGGCAAGGAGAAGTGTGATTCACAGACGGCTGACCTTTTCTACCCTCCAATTTTCCATAAGGAAAGTAGTATTAGCACAGGCTGCCCTCGGATGCCGTCGTAGTGTCGTTATGTGCACCATAGCGGTGGGTGATTTTTATTTTCTCCATAAATAAGAGATTTTTCTGGTATGACAGGACCTTAAGGAGTGAATTTTTCCAACGGTATAGAACGCCGAGTCACATAAAAGCTTGACTCATACATCAAGGTAGCTACTACCAGTCGGGAAAGATTTCAATATTTTGCTGAGATGGGTTAAGTATACTGTCTTACGAGGTTAGCTTATTGAACGTAGTAAAGTTTCGACAACAGGATTAAACATGGAAACTAATTTACAACTCACTGCTTCATAACGCGGATATCCTCATGGAAATAGTATTCGAACTTTTGAACACCGCTGGCATCAGGGTTATCTTTGATGCAAGGGCGTAATTTAACTGGAATAGACTCTGTTGCACCGACTGCATCCAAGCATAAAGATGGATCGGCATTAGATCTTTTCCGTCCTGTTGAAATGGTCATAATTATCCTCCTTGTTCTGAAAAACCTGAGAGGTTGTGATGCGACTGAAATTAGTCTCGTCTCAAGTTAGTAATACTGTATCTGATCTGCGGAAATCTTCCTGATTTCAGCACATCGGCACCTTAGGATTCGGCGTAGGCCTCTATCCTCCTTTTAAAGGCAACGCGGTATAGGGCTGTAACAATTGCTGAGGGGGGCAAATGAGTTAGCATGGATCTTTGTACTTGCTGTATGGTGCTCTATTCTCAACAAATGACACCTCAGGTCGCGTTTCCGACTAAAGCTCAGGGGGGATCTGCTTGTATGCAGGGGATTATGGGCGATGTGGTACATTATGATCATGTCCCTCTAATCCTCCGGTATTGAACTGGATGCAGCGGATGAGCAACTAAGTGGTCGGGGTTCGGTTTGCTTCACAACTCAGTCACTTTCTTTGTAGCTCTCCGCTGTACCCTTTCTAGGATGGCTATGTTCTTCAGTTATGGGGACATCACAAGCGAACCTTTTTCTAGGTGAAGGCGAATATACATAGCATACACTGTTGCAAATCGAGGAGTTAGATACCCTAAAGTTCGCGAGAGACACCCCAAGATTCCATCAGCCCTGTTGGCTGCAAGGCGACAGTGTAATGAGGTCCTAATGTGTCGTTTAGTGTAACTCCCAGATCTTGTTCCATGTTTCCACCAGACATCAGGAACTGGGACTGCTTTTATGTTTGTCAGCTAACATTTTTCGACTTTCTTCGAGTTCGGAGGAAGCAGGTCCTCTTAAATCCAGTTAAGGATCTTCATAAGTTCCTCCTGGAAGGTCAAAATATCCGTTGGTTCCTGTATTCTCCTCCAAATCTCCAGTTATCGGCGTATAATAATGAATGTGAATTAAGGACCCCTGGTAGGTCATTGATAAAAAGCAAGAAACAGCAGTGGGCCCAGTATGGAACCTTGAGGCCCACCTCCCGGCATCGGGAACCAATTAGATAGAGAGGAGCCAACTCTAACTGACTGCACCCTGGTGTGCAGATAATTTCTAAGCCAGATTATTAATTTTCCGCGTACACCAATGAGCTGGAGTTTCTCACAAAGGATATCATGATTTACCCTGTCAGAGGCATTAGAAAAGTCAAGTAGACCAACGTTAACAGACTTTTTCAGCTCGACGGAGAGTGTCCAGCTATTCCAAGCCATCAACAAGTTGGTGCTACATGACCTTCCTGGTAGAAAGCCATGCTGAAAGTTGTTTAGGATTGATTTCTAGGGTGAGTGACCACGAAGTGAGTCATTTATGGCTCTCCCCATGACCTTCGCAACTGAAGAGATCAGGGAGATCGGTCTGCAGTTGGTGGCGAGTAGTTTGTTCCCACCTTGATAAAGTGGGATGACAGCCACCCGTTTCCAAGCAGAGGGTAACCTGCCTTCCAGAAACGAGCATTTGAAGAGGTTTGCTAGTGGGCGCACAGAACTTCAGCACACTCTGAGTGCTCTTGGGTGAATCCCATCGATTCCTGGAGACTTATTACGGTTCAGTTTCTTTAATATTCCCATAATTACGGAGGGTTTAAACTCTATGTGGTTTGGTCCCTCTGTGATACGCGTGTCCGACGGAGGCGGGGTTTTGCCTCCCAAATGACAGTTGTTTTGGAATTCATGAGCTAGTAGGTTTGCAACTTCGGAGTTGGAGTAGAGAATCTCAGACTACTGATGGGGTCCTGTAAACTTAGAGAGCTGTTACTCTTCTGTCCCATGATTCCCCTCCGGGGTTCTACAAAGTTGTGTCTGGTGGTTTAATCTGCATTTCTGATCCTTATTATACATCTGTTACGGATGTCTTTATAATTGAGCCAGTCAAAAGGGCTATTAGTGCACCTCCGTAGATTCCAAGGTGGCCGTTTACGCCTTATTAGTTTGCGCGTGCTTGACTTGAGCCTGGATGAGTGGAACGTGTCGGTTCTTCTTGGAATCAGAGGAGTGTTATATTTTATCGTCTGGAGGATCGTATTCTTCAATAGATCCCATCTGGCATCGGGATCCAGTAGGTTATCGCAACTTAGGTAAGTGGAACCTTCTAGATCTCACCGGACCTTCCCAAGATCAGTTCTCCTGTAGTTCCTGACTGGTGGCTGATCCGGAACGGGTGGCTTAGATATAGGAATATTGAACGAGATAACTGCATGGTCACTCAGCCCAAGAGGACTGAAAACATTCAAGCTGCTTACCCCAATGAACTGATTTGTGAAAATATAATCTAGTCGGGATGCCTCACCGTCAAGCCCCCAGCGAGTACACTCGGAAACATGTTCCGTCAAGGAGTTTTCCAGTAACAATTCTCGAAAGTCTTTTAGAGCGGTAGACGGGCTTTCTGTGGTAAAGAGTTCAGGAAGGTTAGAATCTCCCATAATGAGGACCTCTGGGCATTTCAGTTCCAGGTCTCCTCCAATGGACTGTATTAAGATTTTATTTGACGTGGCATCACGTGCAGGAGGGCGGTGTAGGGCTCTAAATAAAAACGGACCTTCTCGGCACTTAATACTACACCAGAGGACATCCTTAATGCCAATTCTGTGGGACCGAATCTCATGGACTTTTGAGCAAGGGCGGGTGTAAACAGCAACTCCACCTCCTGGGCCCTCCTGTCTATCCTTTCGGATTAGGCCGAGCTGTTCTGAACGAACTTCCTCTTCTTTTATGTCCCCCGTGAGCCATGTTTCACAGAAGGTAGTTATGCTGGAGCTATCCTCATCCACTAATAACCCTACCTCAGGTACCTTGGAGCGTAGGCCTCGTACATTACTATAGGTACAGCGAATAAGAGTATGGGGGCCGGAGGTCCCAGAAACCGGTTGAGTTAAGGGCGTGTTGCTAGCTTTTAAGTGGCCGGCTTTGATATATGTGTTTTGATTGGGGGGTGGAACCAAGGGCTACTAGATCCACTGATCTCTTTGACTGAGAACTGGTGCAGGGTTCTTCGATTTGGGACAAGGTAGATAAAAATTCTTGCTCATCGTCCAACCTTTCTATCGTTAGATGTGGGTTGGCCAACGGTAATCACTTGAACCGCCTCTTAATCTGCTTTGTTCCCTTGGTCTGCACTCACTTATCTCTATTTCGCTAGGGAATATATCAGATACATTTTGCCAGGATTCCATGGTGGTTCTAACCATATCTGGATAGTCAAGGGTTACTTGGAGTGGCCTGGGAGTACGAATAGTCGAGAGGTGAGTCGGCCTTGGAAGACGATTAATTCTTTCGGCCCTCACATCAATTTGGAGTTTGCTGACAATATATCTCCACTGATTTATGTTGTGGATAATTTCAGCAGCACCGGTACCCGAAGGATCTCGCGAAGGATCTCAATATTCTGCTGAGATGGGTTAAGTATACTGTCTTACGAAGTTAGCTTGTTGAACGTAGTAAGTTTCGACAACAGGAATAAACACGGAAACTAATTTACAACTCACTGCTTCATAACGCAGATGTCCTCATGGATCCACTTTGGATCCTTCAGCCACCCGAGCTAGTCAAGTTGTGCCGGCAGATAGTCTGGGTTACGTATGATAGTTGGCAGGGTTCACGCTGCTTTCTGGGCGCGATGGTTCCACGGCTCATGATGGACTTCATAAGTGAAACGGTGCCATGGTTATCAATTGGCCTTTAAAATGCACTACATAGCAGTCACATACGTCGCCCGGGGAGCAAGATTAGGCGAATTGTTGGTGTTTAACAAACTCCCTCCGAGGACGCGCTGTGACATTTCACTTGCATTACTAGCCCTGTCTGTTGGCAAATGCAGACAAAGCCCATTGTGCTCATGTCAAAATTGAGTCCCTCATGAGCCTACATTATCCGACCACTTTTGTCAGGCAATCAATGAGCCCAACCACTGAAAATTCCGTTAACGCTATTCACACAACAGCTTATGATTGCGCTGTCTGGAACCCTGACCTAAGGCATAATGGTCAATGATAGAGTCTAATTTCAAAACCCACCTACCCCATATGATCCAGATCACTACTTTTCAGAAGGTCACTCTTCTTGAAGTTTTGATATTTTACTACTTCTAAGGCCTATCTTAAAAGTATCTGCAGAATGTGCAGAAACTGATAACGTTGTCCTAGGTATTATTGCAGAACAGACACAACTGCCTTACTAAGTACAGATGATTGGTAATAAGTTGCTCTTGCTCTTGCTCAGCGTTGCTTTGCTCGTGCCCAATTTAGCAACATTTAGATTTTAGATAGTTACAACAAGGCCAGCGTTGGTAAGTCACTGAAACCTCCTGATTTACACATTTCGATTTGCCATAAACAGCTAATATTGAGTTTGTATGACCCGGTTTTGGCAGAATTTACCGACAGCGACTAATTATAAGGTTATCTCCACTGTTCAAGGATGTTTCAGGTGGCATTTTATTCTGTATCCCAACAACTTAAGATTATTTAAAAACGGTAATGGGATATGACATTGTTGGAATCTTATTTCTGTTAGTGACAGTGCCAATCTTCACATTGTGTTTTAGTTAACCAAAAATTTATCGTTCCTTAGCCTTCAGAACTAATTCGACATCTTGACAACATGACAACATGAGCAAATGCATTTCTATATCCGAGGATTGGGTGAGGGAGAAGGTCAAAATCTCCAGTGAAAATTTAGGTGAGGTGTTGATAATTCAAACTGTTTTATTTTTGATAGAGGATATAAAAACACTGATTTTACAGGGAAATTATGAGGAGAAAATTAACTCCCTTGGTTCTGCGTTACTGCACTTCTCAAGACTCAAAATTTTGGACTTATCACGAAACGTCTTAAAATCAATCAGAGTAATTAGCTTTTGAATTTTATACTTACGTTCAGGGGATCGAGCACATTAAGACTTTAGAAGTATTAAACCTATATTACAATTGCATCGAAGAAATAAATGAACTTCGTGTTTTGGCTTTCAATCAAAACATAAGAGACCTTGATCTTCGACTGAATCCAGTATCACGGTTGAACTCAGATTACAGGTTATACCTTACATATATTCTTCCGAAACTAAAAACACTGGGTAAGTTTTTCATGGTAATATTGGTTTTAAATTCCGCATACTGTTTCATGTTTTGCCCCATTTGGTTATTAATCTCTTTATTCAAGTCACTGTGTTGATGCTTAAGGTGTGAAGCTGTTGTTGTGTCGGAAAAGTTCTCAGTTAGCACTCGCTTTCGACGTACTTTGGAAATTTCCAGCAAAAACTTTATACACAAACTTCGGATTTGTCTGCACGTGCACACTATCTTCTTCTTAAAATCACAAGGTTTCTCCAGAAGTCTTCATATGGGTCTAAGTATGCCACTTATGGTGAACAAAAGGTGGTAACATCACAACACCCCACTCCAGAATGTATAACAGGTTTTAGATTTATTTTTTGGGGATAGAAAGCTAAAAGCCTATTTTAATTTTTTAAGAGGAGATCTGCTTGCCTGTCCAGACATCTCTGGGACGAGCCAATTGATGACGTGGACACTACTTACTCTGAAATTCGGTTCTAGGAGTTGATTACACCATGTGATAACTAGTGGTATGTGGAAGTCACGTTCGACCCCTTATGTATCTAGCTGGGAACGCACAGCACTTTCAAAAGCAGTTTGCTTCTTAGAGGTCGATTTTGGACGAAAATGATATTTGTAATTTTAACAATACTAAAATGAAATGTACAAAGCAATGAACTTCAGGTTTCAGATTAGAAATCCTAGTTTAAGTATAGCGGGCTGTAAGCCTATATTAATTCTCTTTCAGCAGACCTCTATATTTGTCGAATCGCTTCTCGAACCAGTCAGTTGATGACATGGACATAAATTCTTTGGTAGTTAGCTTCAGTAGTTGATTACTGAACAAAAAACCACTACAAAGGTTACACTTATCCTTTGCTTTAGTACTCCTGCTTTGTCTTTTGAGCTGTTCCAGCCCAGTAGGAAGATAAGGAGGAGACAAATTGTATTCAAAGTCATCTCTTGAGATCCTTCATAGCATAATTAGATCTCTCCTGCATCTGCAATACGATGAGTAAAGGAGGTTCAGTTCCTGAAGTCTTTTCTCGTAGGTCAGGCTAACCATACTGGAGATTATACGAGTGGTCGTCCTGCAGACTGTTTCCAGAAGGTCTGAGTCACCTTTTGAAAGGATTTGTTGCTTGTGTAGTTTTCCAGTTAAAGTCGGATTGACGATGTGCATAAAATGGTGGCAATATCATCATTTATTTTAGTAAACGATCTGCATAATGCCCTAAGTGTTCTAAAACTTCAACCTGTGACCAGTCGATATTGTGCTATGGTCTTCATATCCTCAATGTTTCCAACAAATTCAAAGGTATCTTTGAGACTATACTTCACAATTTCTTTGTGCAGAGGCATCCAGAGTCAGTTTAAAAGTGGAGATGGTGAATTTTATATCGATTTAGCTAACTGAATATTAAAAAGAAATAAGATAACTTTTAGCTTTAACGATTCTCTTTCATTTTTTCCTTTGATAAATTTGTAGGCAAAGAGGTGTAGTTAGTACTTGCAGTGCAGGGAAACCCAGCAAACTTATGAAGGCCTGTTCACCAGGTTATGGATCAATTTTATTTATTAGGACCAATAAGGTCATTTTTCTTATTATTGACATAATAGAAGTCACAGTTATTTTGAAATTGTATTTTACTTTTTTCAATCAGATTGCCGCATGTTAAGAGATGCAGAACGAAAAGCGGCTATTTCTTTCTTTGGAGCTGATGCTACAGTAGATTTATGTCCTTTAACTATGCTAAGAAAGCTTGATGATATGAAATCTTGTAAAGTGAACAGAACCAGGCATGATCATGGTCCACACTTTGTTGAGAAGTCAGATCACTTACTGAAATATTATCAAGACCATCATAATACTGCTTCTTCTTCTACTACTACCATTAATAATAGTAATAACAATGGTTCTCCGACAAATCTTGAGGTTTGGTCTAATGATGGACACCTTCACATGAATAATTCATCACTGTTCGAAGCAGAGACATACAATACAACTAGGATACACGATCCATGGACTAGCAATATTTTACGCTTAAATTCAAAGTCTAAATTGGCACAACCACCTCCATCACTTGATCCATCTAGAGGTGTTAAACACGCCGAGTTTTACAATTGTAAAGGTAAGTAGTTATTTGCCAATAAATCCATGTTTATTATAATCTACCCCAGACAAACATTTATGCTAAAACACTTTTTGAGGCTTTTATACTTCATCTATTCCATGCAAATTGTTGTTATGACTCAAAATTTTAATTAGGCGCAGATTCACATAGGTAGATTTATTATAAGGAAATTAGTACCTTCGCATGTAAGTGAGATATCGCAGAAGTTTCAATCAATGAACATAATTTTTTGATAGTCTTAACGACCTTGTGCGTAATCGGCTGTTTCTGCCAGTGTCTTTTCATTGTCTACCCACTTATTTTGATTGGTTATCCTAATAACCCGAAATCTGATCTTCTTGTTGCTTCTTATTGGCTGATAGATTGGGTCCATGTAATATGGCAGTTGATTGCTGACTGACCTGAATACCAAGCTTCTAAAAAACCTGCCATTTCTTTTTTTACTTTATCCAGGATTTTCACATTTTCTCAGTCAAATTCATGTTCACAGTTGTCTGTACACATTGATACGAGCGGAGATATATCATGATGCCTCACCGCTAGTTGATGTTCATGTAGACGGATGCTAAGATGGTAACCACTCTGTCCGATGTTGTTTTTTACCAGGTTCTACAGATTTATTTGTAGATACTCATATCAGGTGATATATATATATATATATATATATATATATATATATATATATATATATAAAATATTGTTTCCCTATGTGAAATCCCAACCAGTTAAAAATAGCTATAAAAGTATGAAAGATATGAGTTATTGAGGCAGTGTATGTTACTCAAGATGTGTTATATTCATCGACAGCGGTGTTGCAAAATGATTAAGTAAGCCTGTTAAGTAAGAAAGGTATCATCACAACTGTTTGAAACAGGAAATCAAGTATTGACACCAACAAAAATGACAAGTGTCCTTGACTTGAAAAAAGAAATCCAAATTAAAGGAAGATTTATCAATAATCTATACGTAATCAGTTAACATGTTCTTACTTAAAAACCGGAAGTTCGTGACATAAGCTATGTTCATTTAGAAAGCCTTGTAGAGCAAATATAACGTAGCCACTACTTTGACTATTCGCAGTTGGGAATTTCAACTAAGCTCAAAATCTTTCTCAGTGCTGTATGCCGCTTAAAATATTTTCTTTGCATTTACTTTGATGAGAAAATTTACACAGGAATGATAATATTACTGTTACCTAAATAAGTAAACTTTTCACTGTAATATACTTCTCTAACTTCTGAATTGAAATTGCTCAAGAGATATGATGTTAAATGTTGAATACGTTAAACAAAGAGTTGGTTGGAGGCAGTTGGCAACAACTTTAGTACCTAGGTTTCGTACCTGTTGGCACTCTTCAGCAACTCCAAGAGGACTGATGTCCCATTGGAGATTCAAACTCATGTCAACCAGTGCTGCAACCAAAGAAGTTACCACCTAGCAATTCGAGCTGCGACTGACCTTCTATAGGAGTGGATAAGATAAGTCGGTTTATTACTGAAGAGTAACCAATTTAATGTGGTCTAGTCATGGGTGTTGACTGAATTCTATCGATCACTGCAATGTCGGGTCTCCTAGCTTGGTGGTCACATTAATAAACGATTGATGGAATTCAGTCAGCACTCAGGACTAGACAACATGACCAACCAAAGAGTAAATAGGTCTCTTCATCAATCTCATTTTGTCAAACCTTTACTACTCAAATAAAGGATGTTTCCCCTGGTTTATAAGTTAGATAACCTTGAAATTTTAAAGTTGTTTGTTTATCCAAGTTGAATAATATTTTAATCTTTGAATCAAGAAATTGGTATCCTCATAAACCACTTATTAACGCTTTTCCCATTAGGATTATTTATACCGGATATGAGAAATGTCTCTAGCATAGTATTGCAACCTATCTTTCTATTCATCGACTAACCTTCTCACTATAAGAATGACTCATTTCTAAAACTGTTGTAGAAAAGTTATGCTTGTCAAGATTTTAGGAGTAGCTTGCTTAGCGAAGACCGGTAGATGAAAATTTCTCTGTTATTATTTCACTATGCTAAACAATTAAATGCGGAAGTTTTATTTGATAGACTTATAATCAAACTTATGAGGCATATGTATTAGTAACCAATAAAACTTTCCTTTGACCTTTTAGCCTTGCTTATACGTTTGTGACATTTCAGCTAAACTATTTGCTTTTTTCAGTTGAGTTGAATTGCAACGTTTAGTGTGAATAAGAAGAATAATTATGCGATTTAACAGATGCATATAAACTCCTTTTTGCGGGGTTAGCTAGGTGTAGCTTCAAATTCTACTACAGCTGCAGGATTTAACTCCATGGTACAGGTGTTTAGTCTTTGGCTTACTGTTTGAAAGCTTAGCACACAGTCTAATTGATTACGTATCCAGGTGAACTGCGGCGCAGCGTAACTTTGTGTGTATATGAATCAAAGATATAATGTACCAATATAGAATATTTGTACAGTATAATCATTAGATTCACCCCTCTATGATTGTTATTGATGAATGTTTTTATGTATTTACATAATTTGGTAAGTTCGTATTACTAACTATGTAAGTGACTCGTTGGTACGTGGCACAATTGTGTGGGCAATGTTGAAGTCATGCGAAGGGTACTAGACAAAACAGGTCGGCAAATCGATTGACGAGGTTGTGAATCTTCATCGTCTGAGGTGGTTTGCATATGTACCACGCATGCCGAGCGAGTCACCCCCAGCCTTGATGTACCATGCTTAGAGAATGTGGATTTGGCTGGAAGGAGGTTCAGGGTGGCCAGACCAAGGTGTGGTACCAATCGACGAAGTCCGTCACTGTTGGTGTTAGTTGTGTGGATAGATGTAGACTGCTTGGTTGGGGTCTCCGAGACAGTAGCAATCACTGGTTGAGTACTGACTCTTGGTGATATGAGTGAATATCACTCCAAATGGCGCAGATGTATTCATTTATTGACATCTTTCACAGTTTGAATATTCGCACTAAACTTTGTATTCAAGCTGTTTATTCTGTTACACCAGTTTGTCTACTTTGATATCACTCCTTTTCTATGCACCTGTTCTTTGTGTACTACAGTGAAGTGTGGCAACTTGAGCCGATACTTTTGCGTCAATGTTCTACGTTGATTTTGTCAGTTGATTACTTCCTTAAGTGTGTGTTAATTACGTGGAACTTAGTGTGTTATAACCCGTCAAAGCATATACTCCATGAGGTACAATCAGTGTAAGCCGTATATGGTCACAATATATTCCTGTGATCTTAAGTTATTTTCACGTTCTAGCCGGATAGAGTTACCTTTAGTATTTGCCATAAATAACTTGTACAAAGTTTGCTTTGATGTGTTGCATAACCATCCAACAATGTCTTTATTTTGCAATAATTTTTTATTCATAACGTCAATCTGAGATTTTGCGTTTAGGTAACAAACAATCAACATTTAAAATAAATCGCTCTTGTAGTCAGAAATGTAACTTTATTCGAACATTCTTCAACCAAATTACCAAAATAAACACCCAGGCAATATCTAGGCATTCGCATAGGAGTCCATATGCCAATAGAGGTCGAACAGTTAGGTCCAGTATAACAGCGGAGAATTACAAGTACATCAATAAATAGTAATAACCACTACCTGTTGTACAAGAAGTGGCTATCGTGCCTCCGTGGAATAGTGAATAACGCCTTGGTGTTTGAAGCAAGGGATACAAGGTTCGA